GGTCGGCGCGCGTGCGCGGCTCGGGAGCCCCAGCGGCGCTGGAGGCTTTGGTCGGCGAGTCACGTCCCCTGCGCGCCCAACACAAGCACCCCCCCCCGCGCCCGTGTGCCCAGCTCCCCGTCACGGGGACCCGGTTGCGCGCGACCACCTGCACGTCCGCCCCCCCACAGGCCTGCCTGCTGCGCTGGCGGGGAAACTGAGGCCCGGTGGCCGCGCAGCCAAGACTGCCCGGGAGGAGGGTGGAGAGGCTCAGGGACCAGGAAATAAAAATCTCTTGGTCCCTGCCCGTAAACCCGGACAGATCGTTGTAGAAATGCGTTCGTTCGTTCATTCATTCTTTAATGAAATACTTATTGAGCGCCTACTGTCAGGCATGGAGCCTTGAACAGTGAGCAAAATAGATTGGGCCCGCCCTCAGGGATTTTACACAGGCGAATCGCGTTACAGGGGTCCTCCTTTATCTGATGTTTCGCTTTCCTGGGTTTCAATGACCGAAAATATTAAGTGGAAAATTTCAAAAACGAAAAATTCATAAGTTTTAAATTGTGCATGGGTTTGTGATGAAATCTCAAGTCATCCAGCTCCATTCCCCTGGGACATGAATCACCCCTTTGTCCAGTGTGTCTCCCTGCCCGTTAGCCACTTAGTAGTCGGTTATCAGATCAACTGTTTCAGTATCACAGTGCTAGTGTTAACCCTTATTTTACTTAATGGCCTCAAAGTGCTAGAGTAGCGATGATCACAATTCAGACATGCGAAAGAGGCTGTCAAGTGCTTCCTAGAAGTGACAAGGTGAAAGCTCTCGATTTAATAAGGAAAGAAAAAAAGTCATATGCTGAGATTGCTAAGATCTATGGTAAGAACAAATATATCCGTGAAATTATGAAGGGAAAAGAAATTAATGTTAGTTTTGCTATTGTATCTCAGACTGCAAAAGTTATAGCCACAGTGCATGATAAGTGCTTAGTTAAGATGGAAAAGGCATTCAATGTGAGGGGGGAGACACAAACAAAAAACGTGTTATGATTGACAGCAACGCGTTGCATCAGAAAGCTTTAAGCCTATGGGAACACTTCAGCAAGGGACCCCTGAAACAAGCGACCACATTCACATAACTTTTATTACAGTATATTTTTATAATTGTTATATTTTATTATTAGGTATTGTTGTTAATCTCTTACTGTGTCTAATTTATAAATTAAACTTTATCATAGGTATGTACAATATGTGTAGGAAAAACATAGCGTATATAGGGTTCAGTACTAGTCATGATTTTAGGCATTTTTGGGGGGTCTTGGAATGTATCCCTCACAGATAAGGAAGGATTACTGTACTAGGCACGTTTTAAAAACTAGTTTGCTAATCTTTTTATTTTTTTATTTTTTATTTTTTTAACTTTATTGGGGAACAGTGTGTTTTTCCCAGGACCCATCAGCTCCAAGCCTAGTTGCTGTTTTCAATCTAGTTGCGGAGGGGGGGCCACCCCACCATCCAGTGCAGGAGTCGAACCGGCAACCTTGTTGTTAAGAGCACATGCTCTAACCAATGAGCCATCCAGCCACCCATCGGCAGCGCAGCTCAAGTCGTTGTCTTCAATCTAGTTGAGGAGGGCGCAGCTCACTGTCCCATGTGGGACTAGAACTAGCAAACTTGTTGTTCAGAGCTTGCACTCTAACCAACTGAGCCACCCAGCCGCCCCTTCTAATTTTTTTATATGAATCCCTTCTATGTGTCCAGAAACCGAGTGTCGACTGAGCATAAGTGAATCAGGAGGCTTTGGCTAGAAATAAATGATAAAGATTTATTCAGGGGTCTTAGACTTTGCAAACTGGAAACACAGCTAGGCAAAAACCCAGAAGTACACCGAAGAAGAAAGTTAAGACTTCTTATACTAAAAAGTGCATTCTCGAGAATACTCAGTCCTGCATTCTTAGCCCTAGGATTGCTCCAGGACCATTATCATGATGTCACATGAGAGGCGGTCTGGGTGATGGCTGTCAGGTGGCCTGGATATGTGAGTCCTTCAGGGATAATCAAAGGGTTATCTGGATGTCTAGTATATGTACAGATGTATATCCAGGCACTGACATAGGACTGGAAAGTTCAAAAGTTTAAGTTCCCAGGCTAGTAAGAACAAGTAAAGAATCATTTCCTCATGCCTCAACCTACTTGATTTTAGTAATTTAGCAGCTTGACTACAGTGACTTCATTTTATTTCTTCACCCTATTTCTCATCAGCCAACTCTTTGGGGAGAGGGGTGAATCAGGGAAGGTTTTCCTGAGAAAGAATGGCAAGAATCAGTGGGTGCGGTAGAAAGCTCTGGCTGCTGCATGGAGGATGGACTGTGGGGCAGAGGAGTGAAGGAAGACCAGCACGAGGCTGCTGCTGTCATCCTGGGGAGAGGTGACCAGTATGGGGAAGGAGAGAAGAACATGGAGTAAGATACCCAAAAGGTGGTACTGGCTTGACTCAGTAATAGGAAGCTTCTCTTTCATCCCAAATCCCTTCCACGCCCACATTGCACAACCTCCCCTAAATGTAGTGGTCCAATCCTGCTCCCTATTTTAGCAAACTGACTCTACCATCCATCTCACTGCCCAATCAGAAACCCAGGCGGCCTCCTGGATCCTTCCTCCCGCCTCCCCCAGATGGAGGGCTTAGTACCTCCTGCACATTCCTGGGGTCTGGCCCGCAGCACCATTTATGTCAAAGGTGATTCTGGATGCGGGCACCACAGCCCCTGTGGAGCCCTTTGTTTGTTTTTGTTTTTGGAAATTTGTGGGAATGTTTTTATGGGGTTTTTGTGTGTGTGTGTGTTTTTTAATTTATTTTCTTCTCTTTTTTTTTATTTTTTATTGTGGGAATGTTTTTGATTGTCTTTCCAGTGGGGACGATAGAGCTATTGATGCTACTGGCATTGAGAGGGTAGGAGCCAGGAATGCTAAATGTCCTGCAATGCACTGGACTGTCCCCTCAAAGAAGAATTGTTCCATTTCCACAAGACACCTGTGTGGTCTTGCTCATAACCCCGTTCATAATTACCTGAAGCCAGAACCTAACTCCATTTTATATATTAACACAAAGTATTATTATTTTTTTAATTGGGGAATTGGGGAAGGGGACCAGCCAAGTTGTTGTTCTTCGATCTTCATTGTGGAGGGCGCCAGTCGCCATCTGGCTTCCTGTCAGCAGCTTGTGGCCTCTAAGCTCAAGGTGCTGTGTTCAATCTTAGTTGTGGGTGGGCGTAGCCACCATCCCATGTGGGAGTTGAACCAGCAGCCTTGTTGTTAAGAGCGCACGCTGTATCCACTGAGTCATCCGGGCAGCAGCTCAGCTCAAGTTGCCAAGTTCAGTCTTAGTTGCAGGTGGGCGTAGCCCACCATTGAACAGGCAGTCTTATTGTTACACCAGCTGAGCCATCCTGCCACCTGTTGGCAGCTCAGGGACAGCTCAGCTTGGGCGCAGCATCACTGGCCCATGTGGGAATTGAACCGGTGGCCCTGTTACTCAGAGCGCGCACTCTTAAACCAGCTCTTAACCAACTGAGCCACTTGGCCGGCCCTTACACAAAGTATTTTTACTGAATTTTCAGAAATGCAATTGTGTTAAAATAGAGGGAAGAGTATACTGTGTTCTGTTTGAGAATTTTGTCAGGAGTTGTTTACCATTTGGGGAAAACAATTTAGAGATGGCAACATCAGTAGTAATATTAGAGCGGCAGACCCAACACGTTTGTAGGTTAGCTCTTGATGGACAGACTGCATACTTATTTAGCACTTACGCGGTATTTTTAAATGTCCAGGATAAGACAGAATTATGGACAATATTCAGTTGACTAGTGATAGCTCACTTCTCAAATCCAAACACATTCTTTAAAAACAGGTACAAGCTTCTGGGACTTCCCTGCATCCTCCTCCAGTGCCCAAGTATTTACATATTAAAATATTCATCCATGTTGTTTTGTAGGACATTTGTTTTTTAGGTCATGATAGATTTTGGTTTTTTAGATGACATGTGTAAGTGGGCTTTATTATCCATGAATCTGTTCCCTGTGAGTAAAGTAACCATTACAACCTATTTGTAAAAGGTGTGTGGGTTTTTAGGGTTGAGAACCTTAGTTTAGACCAGTGGTTCTCAAATTTGAGTGTTTGAGGATTCCCTTGAGACTAGTCTGTTCTCCAGAGTTTCTGATTCACTAAGTATTCAGGGAGGTTGGAAATTTTGCCTTTTGAACAATTCCCCAGTGGTGGTGATGGTCCTGGCCTGGGTAATCCACTTGGAGAACCACGGCCTACATAAATTTTAAGGCCTTACTGCTCCATTCTCTTAATCTTCAATCTATCAAGAAATCTGGGGCAGGGCTGGCCGAGTGGCGCAATAGTTAAGAACTGGCTTGGGACGCCAGAGGGCCCCGGTTCGGATCCCACATATGAGGGCCAGTAACACTGCCCTCCACAGCTAAGATGCTGAGCAACAGCTCAACCTGGAGCTGGGTTGCCATGAGTCGCCGGCGACGGTGTAGGCTGCAGCCCCTGTGGCAGTGGGTTGCCATGGGCTACCGTGTGTAGCCAGCAGCCAGCGTGAGCGGCCAGCAGCCTCAGTGAGCAGCCGTCCAGAAGCCGGCAACTGATCTGCCTCGCCCGGGAAGAGCGCAATGATGGTGCCAAACTGGGCCGGTGAAGCAACGTCCTCCACAACTAGACTGAAGGACACCAAAAACAACAGCAACTTGTCTGTTCCCCTTCCCCCAATTCCCCAATAAAAAATCTTTAAAAAAAAAAAGAAATCTGGGGCAGCTGGATGGCTCAGTTGGTTAGA